GACGGTTAATCCCACTATTCGTTGGTAAAAGAGTAGCCCAAGAGTTGGCGGTGGGTGGTGATGACTAGCTGCCTTCCCTCTAGTCTTACACTGCTAAATTAGGGACGGCTAGCACAGATAGCCCTTGTGTAGCTTTGCGCGAAATCCATAACAAACAAACAATTCATAAAATACTCTATCGGATCTCCAGTTAAAGATTACATTTGTAAACAAAAATGTTCAAACTTGACTGATGCTAAATAATTTTAGTTTTACAGTGTGGTTTCAAAAGCTTTCAGTGACTTTACTTGAGAGTCACAGATTTACTGTCATGCAGTTTCGTAGCATAGTACGGTACTATGATATATTTAATTAGTTCTTAATAACTTCTAAATAAATACTTCACTAGTTTCTTAATCGCTATTCAATAAGTTTTGGATAAATACTTCACTAACTTTTTATCCGAAACTTCAATGATTATTTGTATTCATACTGGTGTACCCACGTATAGATATTAGTCGAAGTTACTAGATCCGTGACGTCAACGTGAACTTTATAAATATTCTAGTACTACATCTATGCGCTTACTTGACCTTAACGTCGTATACTCCCTCTAGCTAACATTTAAATTAAAACATTGAAAATATAGCTTACTAACAAATGTTACTAAAGCTAAGAAAATACTTATGAAACGTGTTGTCAAAAGTGCCATTGAATTATAGCTGGATTCGAAAATAGAAATGATAAGTAATGGATCGCACTTTCTCAAACTGTTAATAAACTAGCAAGAATAACTTAGTCACACACACAATGAGTTATCAATAATTTATACTGAATCTTTAAATGAAGGTTAAAGCCACGAGCCTGGGTTAAACAACCAATCAACAACTAAGAAGTATTGAAATAGCCATTCAAAAACTGGGCGAATAAATTATTGATTAGGCCTAAGCTATTATAAAGATCAAAACTGTGTTTATCACGTTAATTTACATTTACTGCAGGGCAACAAAATTACAAATTGTTCCTACAAACTTTAAACACCTGACGTAACCCTGTCAAAATGTCACTGAAATGATCGATAAACATGGTACTAAATGTTAGTTATCACCACCCATTAGTGAAATGTCCCTTTGAGTGGTGAACAGAAACTTGTGTTTAATTGTCAGAGAAAGTCGCTGTTTCAACATAGTAAATAAGGTACCCCAATCTTTGTTGTCTTCTCCTTCAAGTTCAAGTTTGTTTCGCCTCCTGTGGTTACCACCTTATCAAACTGTTAATTACACAGAAAGACTGAATAGAGGCTTAACAAGGAATTTTTATGCAATCTACCGATAAATGTGAAACTAATCTTCTATGTCACTAATCAAGACTTCTTTAGAAACAAATTTGGAATTGGTAAACAAACTGGTAAAAATACAAAACAGGATCAGACCATGGAAAAGTTATTTATTTACTTAGAGGGTTAAAAATTCCATAGTTATGACAGTAAAAAAATATTGTTTTCAGTACGAAGAGGAAAAATATGTAAACTGATAAAAGGGCAACAGTAACTGAAATGTTTCATTATAGGAAACATTTCATGTCATTACTTTTATTCGTGAAGGATTGTAAGCCTATAAAAGGAGAGTACAGTTCAAAAGGTCTCTAATAACAATAAACGACCGGTTTTGTAGTTTGTTTGTTTGTTTGTAATTAAGCACAAAGCTACACAATGGGCTAACTGTGCTCTACCCACCACGGGTATCGAAATCCAGATTCTAGCGTTGTAAGTCCGCAGACATACCGTTAAGTCACTGGGGGCGGTTTTGTAGTTATACGAATCATTGGTTGATTAAAGACACGCGTAAACTTTAGCAAACGTTTTCATCATACAAATGTCTTTCTTTTCAAACTTGTACATTGTGAAGTTGTCTTTCTCTGATATAATTCGGATCGAATAATCAACGGTTCGAGTCATGATGCCAATGAACATGCTTCGTGTTATCAACCTGTAGAGACTTTATAAAAGTGGCATTATCATTTTACATTCAATTCAGAAACAGACAGAGCTCGACTCGCAACCTGCAGGTCGCGGGTTCAAATCCCCGTCCCACCAAACATGCTCGCCCTTTCAGCCGTGGGGGCGTTATAATGTGACGGTCAATCCCACTATTCGTTGGTAAAAGAGTTGGCGGTGGGTGGTGATGTCTTCCCTCTAGTCTTACACTGCTAAATTAGGGACGGCTAGCGCAGTTAGCCCTTGTGTAGCTTTGCGCAAAACAAACAAACAGACAGAGCTGGTCTGTAGTTCAACTTTAGAGACAACCTTACCCGAATCCTCTGACCTGATCATTTAGCTCATGTGTGCATAAGTCCCCGTACAGGTTGAAAACTCTTAATTCCAACTTTTAATTGTATCTGTGTAAAACTAAGTTGTAAGTAAACAAGAGAGTTTATGGTTTCGTTTTTTTTTATTTTTATGGGGATCTATTTTTTGATAATACTTTTACAAGGGTTGTGTTAGACGAAGAATGATTTTTTTTTCAAATCAGGATACCCAAACTTGTCGAGAGTTTCAATCTCTCCAAAACTAGACACAGAAAATATTAAAAAGTTATGACTGAAACTATGAAATTATGAAATCTATTCCAGCGAGAAACCAAATGACTCTAATGTAAATAACTGTCTTTTCTACGTTTTTTGATCCATGCAAAAACACATATA